GAATCATTTCTAAATACATTTTTGAAATTACATCAGGACTATTTAAACTAGCTCTGTTTCTGTCCCCAGCTCTTCCACAGAAGTGCTGTAGGATGGTCAGAAATCTTTTCCCAACTTTCACAATACGTTTATCCACAGCCAGTTGTGCTGTCTCACACCCACCTGCATTTTTCCTGCCCCAACACATACTTTAAGTAACCATATCATCATGCGGCCTTCACCTCTGTCAGATGGATGCACTGGGATACGAGACCTCACATATGTGCCTGCTCATACATACGTGGCAGACACGGCACCATGTCCAGGCTGCCCTGCAAGTGGCACAGCCATGTGAGCACAGCGCTACACCCAAGATGACAACCTTGCTTCACGGTGCTCAGTTAGGCAGTTACTCTTCAGTTAAAATCCAGAAATAATCAGGCTGGGAAAGAAGAACTTAAGCTCAGTGGCCATGGGCCTGAATTTCTTAATTCCTGAGCAAGGTTGGGCAGATTCTAGGTAGTTATAGGAAAGATTGTGCCCATCATTCCCTCCTCTGGGGACTCGGTGTTTCCCAGGAGTTTCTCCCTGCAGGAGGCACAGGGCGTAGGAGTCCAGCTGCAAGCACACCAGCACCTTCCCAGTGGATAGATGTCCTTGGTGAGACAGGCTTCCGAACTGATTGAGAGCCTACCTCCCGGTCTCCTAATTAATGCTCTGTCCTCCTCCTTCAAGCCTAACACAGGGATCAGAGTCAAGAAGATATATATGTACCAAATACTGGTTTGGTCCAACTCTTCAAGGTACATTCCTGATCCAGACCCACTCTGTCCTATGACGTGAGGCTGCTCACAGCACAGGGACAGCCCGGGGGAGACGAGCCCGATGCTGGTGTCACCTCTCCTGTGTTTCCAAAGCATGCACCATTTTCCGAACAAATAGGGAGCACTAATAGCTTAAAACTGGCAAATGTACTGGGGAGAGGGCTTGTTCCAGACTATGGAAAGTGTACTAAATAGGATGCAATTCAAAGTGTTGTGTATTATCCAGGATGATCCTTACAGTGATCTTTCCAGCCAGAAAAACCCTTCATTTTCCAGTATCAGCCATTTGACACAGGGACTGTATCGACTTGCTCATGGATTCAGAAAAAGGAATAACTTGGTATGCTTGTGAGTGTTCTGTAAGTGTGCATTCTCCCCATTGAGCTTACAGCCTAAACTTTAATTGAAACTAAACATGAACTGGTATCAGGTGTAGTCTACATTACAGTGCAAGAGGACAAAGAATAAAGAAGAATTTGCTTTATTTTTAAATATTAGTAACACTGCACAAAACAAAAAAAAGTGGTACTTAAGTGACAGAAACCCAGTACTCAGTCTTATTTCATATTAAACATAATTAAAATACCCTAACAGAGTTCATGTATGGCTATATGTTTGCATAGGGTTATACTGGGTAACATGAGCATTCGAAGCTAAACCATTCAGACACCAGAGACACCAGAATTTGTTATATCAAACCATGCTAGAATGCAGACTTGATTTTTCTGTTTAGCTTCTTCCTTACACCATTATGTGCATTCCTACATTTTTTAAACGTTAGGATGAGTGAGTTTCTCCAGGAACTGTGGACTTTCAATATTGCCAGGTTTAAGTCTGTTACATCAACAACATATTGGCAAGAGGAAGATAAAAGAAACAAAACAAAACCATAAGCTGCTAACTCCTACCTGGAGGTTAAAAAGAGGAGGCAACACACTGACAAGAAACATGCAGGTAAATGCTTAAGGCAACGGAAGGGCTCTGTACAAACTAAAAGGTTAAAAGAAGCAATGTGTCATGCACATGGGTCAAGCATGGGAAGCAAGGAAGTAATATAGCTAGAAAATATGTATTTCTTTTAAATTGAAGACATCTCTTCAAGCTAAAAAAAAAAAAATTAGTCCTGCAGTAAAACCAATGCAAAAAGCTATTGTACATAAAGGTGTAAGTTCTTTGCAGAAACAACTGGATAAAATCTTATGCGGATGCTGAAAAAAATGTTTGTTATCTAAAACCTACTCAGCAGAAACAAAGAGTGGTTTTAAAGTAGCACTTAGATCATTTGTCTCTAGGTTCTGAAAATAAACTTTTAAAATAAGGAATGATTTCACTAAATGATTCATAGGGAGTCAACTATGCTTAAGGAAATCAGTAGGAGTGCTTACAGGAGACCATCATTACACTAAGTTTCTTAAAATCAGAGGATATAACTTCATGATACAATTTAAAATGAAGGAACATTTTATAGCAAGGACAAACCTTTGCTGCCCAGCTTGGGGGAAAACAAAATTTTAAAAAAAAAAAAACAACAAAACCACCATCAAAGTCACTTATTAAGCTTGCATAAATTACCCTATAAGAGCTCATGTCTCAATCCCATTCCCAGTGACATGAGTGAATAGGACTCTTCCTTCAACAGGCCTGATGATGATGCCAGAGTGACCAAAACAGGCATTTGCACAACCCATTATATCGTACAAGACAAATAAAAAAACACTAGACTAGAGTCATTTTAGTCCCCGGGAACGAAGAGGTAAGAAATTCTGTAACGCTTTCCATTCGTCAAAAATAACACACTTCTAACCGAGATCAGCCACGTTTGAATTCCCTAACCTGACTGGCAAGAAAGCCACTCCATGAAATTAAATAGAATAACATAGTGCAATTTTAGTACAGTTTTAAACATGAGTCACTTCCTTGCTAGCAGTGAGAACAATCAAAAAAATATACACAAAAGAGGTGTGCTCAAATGTAACATTAAGTTGTCATTATTATAAAGGTATTGGCAAAGCAGAGAAGTCCATTTTAGTAACTCCCTTTGGTTGACTTCTTCTTCTTCTGTTCCTCTCTCTGCTTCTGCTTCCTCCTCTTGCTGCCTTCTTTGTATCCTGAGGAAACACGGCTCGTAAAACACTAGTCACAGCATTCATGGACTTTTCCCTCTAGCAAAAGCACATGTTCTCTGAATGGTTTAAGGAATCTTAAAGAAAAAGTCTGGTGTTCTAATGTGGTTTTTTTAAAATTATCATTTCTACTATATCCCCAGTTCTACTATATCCCTTACATAGGATAGAAAGAAAACACTAACAATCTCTGAAGTCTGAAAAGATCTGGAGAACTTTCAAAAGACTTCAAAGCCATTCAGGAAAAGCTTCAAAATTAGAGCACATGCAAAACCAGAATAATTTTCAAAACAGAAGCAATAAATAAGACTTATACAGCAGGAACTATTTAAGTACTGGCATTTCCTTCTCACAGTAGTCAGTTACCACGATATTTGCATTTCCATTTTAAGACTAGGGAATGCCAAGAATCCTGAGTGAATAAGAAGATGCTCAGTATTTACCAATACGCATTTTTTATGCAGGTCATCAGCCTGCTCATGTTTAACCATGCACCATAGGTTATATTCTACTGTAGCTCCAATAGTGCATGGAAACACTAAGTTCAAGCAAGAAATATTTGCTACAGATTCCGTAGGCACAAGCTTCCAGCCATGTCATCATCATCCCAATGCTTTTTTTCCCCCACAAAGATAGGTGAAAAAGTTCTTGCTGTGCATTCACACCCTTTCCTCCAAACTTGCAGTAAAACACAACTTGCTAGCAGACTTGCATGGACAGTGAACTGTGCAAAACCAACACCACCTCTACCCAAGTGCATTTATAAATCTGCACTCAAAGCTAGCAAACATTTCCCTCAAATAATCATGCTGTGATGCTTTGAGATAGCTGGAGTGACCTTTTAGTTCAGTGCTGCTCTGCCAGTGGGAATCAGCACAGCCCAGTGAATGGGGCCAGCAGGGAGCCCAGGAGCCCCTGCAAGCCAGCTGAGAGACAGGGCTGGGAGCCAGAGGAATGGCCAAGGAAAGGCACAGCTCTGCCCATCTGGAAATGTCTTTCTTTCCCTCATTCTGGTGGCAGGGAGGCAGAGATGACCCTAAGGAAGCCATGTCACCACTACACCTGATTCTCCACCAGTTTAACACCAATAGCAAAATTAAGATGGGGAAAGGAAGCAGTGGGAGGTCAGAGGAGTATGAAGTCATGCTGTGGCTGAAGTCTGCTCCTGACTGGAGCTCCTCCCAAGCGCAATTAGGGTTGTGCCCACAGCAGAACTGCAGTTCTTTGGTTCAAGTTTAAGACCTAGGGAGAACCACGAGATAGTCTGTGGGCCAAAATCACTCAAGACATTATCAGAAGCTTGAGCATTAGAGGAAATACACTCCCTTGCAGCAAAGGGAAACTGTTCCTAGGTTATCATTTTAGCTCCTACGCTGTATCAACAGCATGACTTCATCTTTTGCAATCATCTGAGTCAAGAAGCAGGATATTTATTTAGAAATTCTGCCATAAGTGATTAGCCTGTGCAAAGTTAGAGTGGAAACCAGTTTTATTGTTCAAGGAGGAGGAAAAACTGGCAGTGCTTTGCAGAATTGGAGATGACGTTATGTTTTCCCCGTACCCTGCCACTCTCATGAGCTATGCTGTCCCTGTGAACACTGCATGAACATCTCCTAACTCCATCCATGAAGTTTACTTCAATGTCAGCTGCTCGGTAACCTATACATTGTCAAAAATTGGATCCCTTGGCATTTAATTTACTGCTGTAAGGCACACATCCCAGAAGGGCTCGAGCATCTCTTTGCTTTCCCACAGAGGCCAATGAAGGCGGAAGAGACGTGCTGACTCTCGAGAATCAGTCATTCGAGGGGTGTTATTCAAAGGATTCTTCCCTTTACTGGAGGCAAAAGCAGCATCATATCAACTCATCAGAACCAGTTTGTGTAATAACTATGAATCATTAACACAGATATTTGGGAAAAGATCATTAAACCCTAACAGGTTATTAGCTTCATAATTTTCTCATTTTTCATTCTCAAAACACTGTCGGTATTTCTGAAAGGCTTCCATATTCAGACATGAGTGCATTTGATACGGCTATTTTAGAACATAATACTTTTTGGGGTGGTTTTTTTGTGATAGTCCATTTTCTTCAAATGTTTTGAAAGCAATTCTAGCAACTCTTCCTTAAAAATACTATGCATCAATGTAAATTATTACTTGGAATGAATGTGATGTAATTCATTGTCTTATAAATAAAACAACTCAAATGTTAAACTAATGTGGTATGAAGATATTTAGGCATTTGACAACATGGTCTCCTACCAGCCTCTGGAATGATAAGGGAGAAAAGTGGAAATCCTTCAAGTGTTATCACTGACACACAGAAACACAGATTGGCCAAAGCAGGAGATAACACACAAATACAGAGTATTCCTCAAGAGAAAACTGCCAGGTCTTTTTCTGTTTCAAGCCTGCTGTGATAAATAATTTCACTCTTGACCATTTCCTTTTCTACCTCCAGCTAAGAAAAAAAGACAGGTCAAACTTTGCCAGTCTGTTAGCTCCAGTGATGCTGTGCTGGGTGATAACAGCCAAAAACCTGATCCAAACAAGTGAAGCAGCTCCTAATCAAAAATTAAAATTGCACACTAAAGATGTAACTCTTTGGTGCTGATTTCACTCGAATACTTCAACCAGCACTAATTAAAAACATATTTTAGCTGCTTTGGTTACAAGACTAGCCCCAAAGTTACAAGAGGACAAAATCCGAATTAGAAAGCAGCAACCCCATTACTATTTGATTCATTTGCAGGGAACCTGTGTCCTGGTGTGTCGGCAGCATCACAAAGCAGTCATAGAAACTTTCCATAGTTAGTGCCTGGCTGAACTGGCTGCAGCCAAACAGTTCTGGAAGGGCTTTGCAAATTTCCACCCATAAAAGCAATTGTTAGCCGCCTAAGCTCTAGAAATGCTTTACAGGATGGAGGGAGAATAGGTTGCTGAGAGTTTCCCCAAGCTTTGACATTTGAAAAACAGATTCACTCAAATGCAGATAGCTATCACCCTAACTTGGTATGTTCTTGCTTTTGTCAGCTGCCAGAAGCAGAAATGGACGAAGCAAGAATCCACACCATTTGGAATTACACCTGGTTTACAACCTGAATAATTTTTGTCTGAAACAATCATCTGCTGACCCGTTCTTCCCATTTCGTCCCCTTCTACTTCCAAACGAAACATAAAGAACACAGAAGCTATTCCAGCTTTCATAAAGCTGCTGAAAGCTGAAACTAACTTCCAACAACACTTAGGCGCAATTCACTCAACCAGACAGCAGGGACCAAAACAAATTGGGAAGCCTCTTTGCTGTGTCCCAGATTCACTTTCCTTCTGGCTTTCTACTTCTCTGCCTTCTGCACCTCCCAAAGGCACAGGTTTGTTCAGTCGCTGACTATGAAACTCATCACATTCTTGGGCAGCAGCTGAAAGGGAGGTGTGCATATTGAGTGATCGATCCAAAGGGACAAGCGTCCTGGGGAAAACACTCCTACCCAGCCCATTTGTGGTATCCTACTTCTTCCTGCCTTGCCTGACATCTGTCTGTTCTACCAGGCTGCAGAGAGCAGCCACAGGTCTGCTTCACCTTCCTTCTGTCAGCACAGAAGAGCACAGGAGTCAGCAGAAGGAAACACGGTGTTCAGTCATGACTGATGATTAATGTGCAGCATTGCTGCTTCTCGACCTACATCAGCCAGTAATAAAGGTCATGGCCTGATTTTTATGGATCTTCTGCAAAGGTGAAGACTTTGGAGGGGCCTGCTTCCACTTTAAGGCTCTGAAGCACTGAGGTTGGGAGTGGGAGGGATTCATGCTTTCTGTTGAAGTCCCAGAGAAAAGAGTTTTCAAGAACTACTAACTTTTTGCTAAGACTGCAGCCATTCTTTTGCCCTCCTTCAGACCATGAAAGCAGTCATGGCTCCAACATGGAGGGAGAGCTTTAATAGGGCATGTGCAAGTTGGGTTCTGTAGCGCGCTTTCTAATTTTCTGCTCTTAGAAGTATCTCTCTAGTCAAAACAATAAATTGCTACCTCAAAGGTAGCTAGCTTAGTTCTGAGTTGCAGCCACCACCTGTTATTTTAGACTGACCACACTTGCATATACCATTACAAAAATTCACTCCAGATCACAGCTTTGGAATAATTTCATGCATGTGACTCAATTTGCAATTACAGCTTTACACTACACTTTCACATTCCCTCCTTTCAGCCCAAGTCACTGCCCAACACACACCACGATTTGACCTACTAATTCACTGCATCCACGCTCCTGCCCATACCACCGAGCACTGCAGAGAGAGAACCCGCCTTTACATAAAGACCTGAGGTGACAAAACATCCCACCCCATCTAGGTATGCTGCTCCACTATTTAATTATCTGCACTGTTAAATCCAAGGGGCGAGTTTTCCAGTTTCACTGGCCAACCCAGTGATGTAATTCCAACTTTGATGTTTTAGGGGACTGAAAAGCTTTAGCAACTTACTGGGGCCCTCCTTCATGCTTGCTCACTGTACTATTTTCATTACCAATTCTGCCTAGAATTGCTACAAGAACATACCAAGCCAGATACAACCTGCTTGCTGCTATTAATTAAGGTAACACCATTACTGAAGAGAGTCCAAGGTTCTACTCCCACACGGCAAGCAAAAGCTTGCAAGGCTGTGCAGCCTTGGAGGCCCTTCCACGTGCAACACAGCCACCTTCTAAAGGAAGCCAACGGGTAACGGGATGCTCTCTCGTACTAGCAGCCAAAAAACCATGCGTGAAGGCAGCTCTGGCTAAGCCAGGGAACAACCAGCCAGCCTCCAAATCCACCAGCCAATCTTCCCACCCTCAGCCTGCAGAAGAGTGTGGCTGTTACCCCATCCCACTCACATGCAGTTACAGCCAGGGGATGTGAAGCAAAGGGAGAGTGAACTCCCTCCCATCTTTGCACCTCCAGCATTCCTTGCGTATTAGATTTCCACAGAAAACAGTGGCTTTGCTTTCCTTTCTCATTCCATTACATGCCCAAATACAAGTATGCGAGGGAATTATAAACTACTTAGTTCAGACAACCAAGCATATCAATTTTACTAAAGTGTAATTCAGGAAATCATCTCTCGGTAAAAAGAACAGAGACTGCATTAAAGATGAAATAAAGTACAAACAGCTCAACTTTCCAGCAGAGGAGTCCATGCCACAGAAGGACAAGATTAGTTAAGCTAGTTCTTTTAAAGTGGCTTACTCTTCAGGGATGCCAGCGGATGAAAATGCAGCAAAAATGAATTATTAATGTTGTAAGATTTAGGTTAATGCGAGCTATTTCCTTCAAAAAGAAGAGCAAACCTTGCAATATTATCTTCCAAAAAATAATCTTTTGTATCATGTACTTTCCAATATTTTAACAATTAAACATTTCAATCATTCTTGTTAGATAAAGGTCAGCACTCTCAAATCCAGAGAAGTAGGTTTTTAGGGGTAGTTTACCACTACACATCTACCATTAACGGCTGCAACCCCCAGGTCTCTGCTGGCATTAATACCACTTTGACACAGCCTGGATACCACCAGTCAGCCATACATCATATGATCGGGGAGCACATTACTTACAGTATCGGAATTCTTATTTAAAAGTTACTTGTTTGGAGCTAGAGAACTGTTTGAGATATGCAATCACTTCAGAGCACAAGACGTGAAGTTTTATTCTAAAAGGCCATTACAAAATCAGGAATAGTATGAAACTCAGAGTGATTAGAAGTGTCAATGTTTGACGGAGAATCAAATTAAACTCTAAATTTTTTATTAATTACTCACTGTAATGCCTGGAAATCCTGACTACTGAGAGGATTCATCTCACCTCTGATACTGCTTGCCAGTCTAAATGAGTTGGCCAGCCTTTCTCCTTGGGTGCTAGGGAGAGATGGCCACATCCAGAGGGATTCCCACCACGTAGTCAAGACGAAACCTATCTCCTTTTCCTTCATTTTAGTTTGCTACAGACTTTAAAATTAAAACATTCCCACCCTTAGCAGTACGAAAAGAAAGCCACTTCACTGCAGGTGAATCATTAACACCTGAGGATTTGCTTGAGGTGCTCTAACTGGGACAATGTCTAAAACTGCCGTGCAGTCTTGCTGCCAAGGGCCACACGCCAGCAGTAGCAAACATGTCTGATTCAAGGTGGAACAGTGCCCGGTTTGAGGCCAGTGACCTTAACTATTTTCCACCAAATCAAGTGGGCTTTGGACCAAGGCAGAAAAAGATGCTATTCTTTCCCAACGCTGGCCCGTGTAAGCACGGCAGCTGTTGCAGTGATCAATGAGAAGCCAAGTGGGAGCATGTAAGTGGTCTATATAATTACAGAGCTGCACTGGCGAAGCCTGCTTGCTGGGCCAGGGCTGTTGGCAGAGGTGAACACCCATGAAGGACAATGGCGTTATTGGCCAGGGCTCGTGCACGCTTCCCAGGGAGGGATTAAGACACTCACGTAGGTTTTTATGACCGACTCGACCAGTTCTTCAGCAGCCCTGTCCATCAGAGGAACAGTACGCAAAAATATTTAAAGCAACAGTAAAATCTTAAGTGTTCCTGCAATCAAGTTTTCACCCTGAATCTTTTATGGCAACTCACAATCTACTGGTAGAAGAGAGGATTTTGTGATTGCACTAATACTTCTGGAAATTCATTTTAATTGAAAACTTGTGCGTCTTGGAGCATAAGTAGATTCACAGCAAAAAGTCCTAAACAATCTTAAAAATTGCTCCAAAAATTGCAAGGTGCGTGTCAAACTCATATGCTCTCTGGAAACCACTACAAAGTATTATTATGATTACAGAGAACCTCAAGAACTCCAAATGCAGAGCCAGGGTTTTGTTTTGCCAGTTACAGACATAGGAGACAAAACCTGTAACCCTTGCATAGGTGATTTCAGGACATCAGCCCAGAGGTTACATTCAGGCTTCTGTAGAGAAATTTTAAACTTTTTTTTTTTTTTTTTTTTTTTAAGAAAAGATTCAACTTATCCATTCTTAAAGACACAAAACTTCCAGCAACTAACTGATCAAGAAGACATTTATCTGAATGTTTCCATTTTTTCAAACTGTCATCCCACACGATATTTTTAGGTTTTCCCTACAGACAACAGTGTTAGATTTAAAGGCTCATAAACGCAGCAGAAGTTGGTATAGCACTGGGAGTACGTGAGTACGTGTTTTGGGGTACAGTACATATTTTTCATACACTATGTTTACCCTGAGGCACCTTGCATGTTCACACTTCTCAGAACTTCACCTAATTCAGCACTACTGAAAAGGGCCCTTGGTCTGGGCATCCAAGTAGAAAGACATCTTCACGTTTCAGAAAAACCTGTCCTGTCAGTCTTGGATGATCTTTGACCACAGGTTCAAATTAAATCAAGTAGTTATGAGGACTTTGTTGTCCAAGATAGCCTCTGGACTATATTGCCAAAACATTACAGACAGGAAATATATCAAAGGACTAATTATTTCCAAAAATAACTGGGACAGTTGCTGCACTTCCATATTCATCTGAACAGTCTCAGACTTCTCTATTAGGATTTAGGAGCCTAAAATTGCAGTTTCCAGAAATAGTATGAAGCTGCTTGAACCTCTTCTTTGACAAGGAAGCCAAGCATAATTTAAGTAAATGAATGTGCAAAGTATTGTGATTAGTTAATCTCTAAGAGGCCTTCACTTTTAAGAACAAAGAGCACAGGCACTTCAGCAGCATAACAATATTTGCCCTGGATCCTTGAATATCCCAGGGCATTTATGAATCTAGACTAAATTGAAGAGCAGAGCTAATACAGGATGAAGGCACACAAGCTGCCATTTATTATCTACCAGGGAGCTAACATTAAGTCAACACACAGCAACAACCTCTTGCTTGGCTTTTTGGTTTGGGATTTTTACTAGCTGATGGATCCTTTTCTGCACATTTCTCATCAACATGCTTGTGCACACCTGATAAATAAAAAGGGGTCTCCAAGCTGCTTGTAACCCGGCTTCTATCTTGTTCTTCCACCTCATCACTATTATAATGATAGGTATATCTGGGGGAACTGGCAGGCTTGTGAGACTTCAGCAGGCGAGGGTTGGTCGGCTGGAAAGGCAGGGCATGTTGTCCTCTCCGTCTGCACTCCTCAGCAAAGGCTTCTTCATCTGCCTCACCTGAAAAAGCAAAGAGTGAAAGAAAAGTGAGCTGCACCCAAAATGTTTAAGCTTAGACTGAAAAAAACTCAAAACTGGGCTGGAAATTGGGTGTCACAAAAGTACTGCCTTGGCTGTGGTTAGCTCACACATAATCCTGTCTATCTGCCAAATAGGGAGTGTCTGGAGCAGAAAGCTCCATCAACGGCCTCTCACCACACTGAAGCCACCCAAAAATTTCAGCTAGATATGACAGCTGTGGGGCCACTGTTTCCTTTTTCCCAAAAGGCAGTACGAGTGAGCTGAGCACATGGCCCTGGATGGCATGTTGTCTCATCCCACCTCACCTGGCCTGAGAAGGCTTAGCCCTGCTCAAGGAAAATCTGTAGGGAAAGGAGGAAGAAATACCCAAGCTGACTACAGGAATGGTGGGAGAAAAACAAAGCTAACGTGGGTTCAGAGGGGCTGGATGTTGGACATCCACAGCTAGAAGGATGGCAGAGACATGTGAAGGACCACATGAAGGAGGGAAATTGGGTTGAAGATGTAAGAGTTAAGCACAGTCTGGAAGATAAAGCACACAAGCACAGCAAAGGCAAATGAACACAGTGGAAGCGTTTGCAAGAATTAATATGAAAGATGAGGTACTTCAGTCATACTCATGCTGTTTTGCAGATAACACTTTCCTTTGCTGCAGAAATTGTAATAGTACCAATGCTGCAAAGTAGAGAAATCAGCTACCGTAACAAAGAAATAACAAAAAAACAAGAAAACAGCAAAACCACACATCAAAAATCAAACAGTAAGATAACAAATAAAAAAGCCAAATACATTCAACAAGGAAAATAAGGGGGGGGAGTGAGAAGAAAGGTGTGTACCACATTTGTCTCTTAAAGGCTTTTTAAAGTTTCATTAATTCAATTACTTAAGTACTTTTAATAGACCTGATGAAATACAGCGTCATTTTATTTGCATCAAAAGTGGTGTGTCACATTCTGGAAGTTTTTCCTGGGATGTGCCCAGCATCAGCTGCTTAGGGAGGGGTGTGTGCTCTCAGCTAATGCATGTGCTCTTAGTTCATGGCTGGAAAATGCTTTGAAGATGGAAAAAGCACCACGTATGCAGTAAGGAACAAGAGCAGTAATACCCACTTCATTGTGTGCACCAAACCACCGACACTTTCAAACAAAACAGGTTGCATCGTCTTTACCTTGTAATCATACATTGGGTGATGCTTCTGAGGGCATGAGGAAAAGGAGGCAAAGTATGTTTAAAAAGTCATCTCACAGTACAGTGCAGCACCCAAGGTCTCACAGGAGAAGGGAACTCCCCAAGACGTGCCTCACATCACCTCACCATGCATTTGAGCACCTGATGTGCATGGAAATCATGCAGAGGACCCTTTTTCCCAGGAGATTAAATGCCCATTCCCCGCCCCTCAACACTCACGCTTTTTTACCCTTGAGTCTCCGGCTCTTCCAAAGGCATAAGCAAACAAGACAAAACCACAAGTGATGATAACACCATGGATTTCTGCATTTAGACACTGCTTGTCTGCATCATACCAATGTAAAACTCTGGATGTGCCGTTCTCCTTACCGTAGGAGAGGGCTGGCAGGATGGCTTTTTTCCCCTCATAGCTGAAGCGCTGTGCCCCATACAAGAGGCTGTGGGCAAGGAAAAGCTCAGAAAATGCCAGAGGCAGAATTGCTGGCATTTCCCATAAGATGCTACAGGATTTTACACACCATACAAACAGCACTGAAGCATGTATCTGTCTGATGATACCAGGTCTATGAAGATGTAGCCTATAAAATGCCAGCAGTTAAAAAAAAAAAAAAAACAAAAAAAAAAAAAAAAAAAACCAAACATAGGGAAACCCATGAACACCAGTTGCACATACAAAAACCAGGCAAGATAGTTCACTTCCTAACAAATTATAGTGCACCAGAAATAGGAGATCCCTCTCATGGTAACACTAACCACATGGCTTTTTGATGTGCAAAGTCTCACTTGATGCATGTTCAAATTTTATTTTGGTAAGCAGATGCAGGAATGACATATGTGCTGAGACCATTCTCGAAGATCTGTGAGGATGTGTGTGTGTGTGTGTGTGTGTGTGTGCATCACAGAGACACCCTGACCAGCTACACTAACAATGCAGTTAAGTATTAAACCAACCAGCTGCTCTACATACACCTCAATAAATAACTCTAACTACGATAGAGATCAATCTCAACACCTTCAGACCAATTCAGCTGGTGTGAAAGGAGCAGTTTAACACTGGAAGAATTCAAAATAATCCTGCTCCTCCCTGGTGATGTACCCGCAGCATCGTTGCGTGCTGACCCTCTTGCACCCTGATGCTTCCTTGATCTGCTGCTTGCACTGAATACTCCTGCAAAGCTCCCTTGCTCTGGGAGCTGAGATGTGCCACAAGCCCCATAACACTGAGCACCTAATGGAGTCACAGAAAGATCTTCCAGCAAGCACTCACTGCTTGCGTCCAACTTAAAATATAAAAATGTGAAAGACATTCCATACTCCAAACTTTCCAATTAAACCAACTGCAATCTAGAGAAGAGGCAGGAGAGCTTTGTCCTGCTTTGTCAAATCTTGTGAGAGCTGCTCGCCAGAGCAGGTTTTAGCTTTCAGCTTTTGACAGTATGAGCATGGCTCTGACTCTGGAAGATGACGGTACCTGCTACACACCTCCTGTGAGTTTTGGGACAAGTCCTTACAACTATGCCACTTTTTGTGTATGAAAAGTTGCAATACACCTTCTCCAAGGCTTTGCCTGGTTTGTCCTCCACCTGCAGCTCTTTGCAAATGGCCCAGAGCAAGGACTGTCCCAAAAAAAAAAAAAAAAAAAAAAAAAAAAAAAAAAAGAAACCACCACACAAACAAACAATTCCTGTAACGCGTATTTCTCTTTCCTTCAAAACTGATCCAAAACTAACCCCCAAAGCTGGACCTTGCACTGCACCATCACAAAGCTGAAGGTGCTGCACCAGCCCAATGAACCCAAGAGAGCCCTGTCTCTGCTTGGTGCTGCCAGCACACTGCCTGCCCGCTGCCTGCTCTGACAGCACCAGTCTGAGATGCAGGACCAAGCTGCTCCTGCTTGGAATTAACCCGTGCAACGCAGCCGTGGCTGAAGCGCAAGGAAGGGGCATGTGGCTGAGGGTGGGAATCAGTATGAAACGCTTAGAGACTGTCCACTGAGATACAAATGGCGAAGGGGCTTTTGCAAGCTTGTTGAAACCCACTGCTTGCCCCAAAAGAAGTGGCAATCTATGCTAAAACCTAGAGCACAATTCCTTGGTATTGGACTCAGGGAACCCACATCCCTTTGGAATTTGTCTTCAGTCTTTCCTTGTAAGCTGCTTAACTTCGTGTCATCAAGGATCTGTAATTAGCATTTTTGCTAAGCTGACCTGACCTGTGTTACACTGCAAGAAAATTCTTAAGCCGCCATCACCATTACTCTGCTGTTTGGGGTGAAAGGATCAGCACACCAGAGTGGCTGCATCTGCATGCCACAAAACATAACACAGTGGCAACTGAAGTCAAATATTTTATTTACTTTGACTAGACTACAAAATTACCTGGTTTTCCTGCAGGAAAATAAATGTGTTTCCTATTTCTGGGCTCCCCATCTGTCCTTTACCTCATGGCAAAACCCTGGGGGGATGAAGAGCTGCCCCCCACCACTACACAGGCAGCACATTTTGCAGCTAAATAATAAAATCATAGAATGGTTTAAATTGGATGGCACCTTTCAAGGTAATCTAGTCCAAATCCCCTGCAATGAGCAGGGACATCTTCAACGAGATCAGGTTGCGCAGAGCCCCATCCAACCTGACCTTGAATGTTTCCAGGGAAGGGGCGTCTACCACCTCTCTGGGCAATCTGTTCCCATGTTTCACCACCCTTATCCTAAAAAATTTCCTCCTTATATCTAATCTGAATCTACCCTCTTTTAGTTTAAAACCACTATCCCTTGTCCTATCGCTACAGGCCCTACTAAAAAGTTTGTCTCCATCTTTCTTATAAGCCCCTATTAAGTACTGAAAGGATTAAATCCATCTCGATCACTCAACAGAGTCATCCAGTTTTCCATCTCCCCCAAAGTAAAGACAAGTTCTAGTTCAAAAAGTAGACAGCAAAGAATTGTCTAAACTTTTTCCCCTTTATGAGTTACAGGAGAGCACGATGGCCCCACAAATTAGATAATGCCATAACATCACATTGACTGTGATTCAAATATTGAGTTATCTATGGTGCTATGCATGGTATGCTCCTCTAAATTTCTGATCATCTATCTTTAATACACCTTGCAAAACAAAACTAAAGTGTCATTTGCATCAACTATTTTCTCTTGTTCTACATATTTAAACATATTTGAAACATTCCAGCCAGACTCAATAAAGCTAGCTGTACCAATTGCACAAATACCAGACTTGAAAAAAATTTAGTCTGAGAAAGGTCAGACACGCGGGGCATCACTAAAAAAAAAGTGCTTAAACATTGCTGGAGCTTTGTCAGTGGTGATGTTTTTCCTGGAAAAGGCTTTGAGGAAGACTAGTTGTATGGAGGGGAAGTCCATAGCCAAGTTCAGTGCTGAAATACCCACTTGAGAAGCAACTTTCAGGGGTGCTCTGGCTTTAAACAGCCCTTGGTTCCCCCCACGGCTCCTTCTTGCTGTCTCCCACGCCTCCAAGCCAGCACACCCACGTGAGAGCCTGGGCAGCCACGCCATGAACCCAAGCAGAGGACTGATCCAGGTTAAAAATAACACTCTTCCTGCGAGCTTATTTTTAACCCAGCTCAGTGCCTGGATTCAGCTCATCGTGCAGCTGCCCTAGCTGGGACAGGGAAGGGGGCAATTACTGGGGGCTGCTGGAATCTGCATCCAGATTACAGTGTTAAGCAAAAGGTCTTATTCTACTAATGCAAATAATAATTAAAAACCTTGCAGTTATTTCACTTGTAAAACCAGTTTGGAGAAGTTACATTTC